CCTAGTTCAACAGCAATATTTGCTTCAAGGGATAGAACAGCATCGAAAAGAGTACCATGAGAAATCGTAGAATATAATAACATGAAATATAATCATTAGGATCCATTGACATTTGTGTGAATATATCTGACATTGTATATTGCACCAAAAGAGTATGGAAGAGAATGGTAGTACTCGCTCTACAACTGCTCTTATGAGATTAAGCAAATGTTTTTGAATAACCTATCTGAACAACTCGAAAGATGGGAATCTCCGAAGTTATTTTAGTCTTTATCTTTACTTTCATTGATATAAGTGAAATTTAAAAATTGTTTTTGAATAATTCATCTGAACATACCAAATCGATAAGATAAGAAACTCCGAAGTTATTTCAGTTTGAAACTTTACTTCTATTGATATGAGTGAGCCCCTCCGCCCCATCACCCCTCTGACTGCGCATATGAGATAGATCTATTATTTTTGAATATTTCATCTGAACATACCAAAATGATAAAATAATTAACTTCGAATTTGGAGTCTGACTTTCATTGTTACACCGGCAGTGTTGGCAGAAAAAGGGATTTAATTCGAAACATTGATCTTTGAACAGCTATAACTTTTTTTAGGGGCATATTATCTAGCACAATACATTCTTGAGCAAAGTTGTTAGGCACTTCCTGAGCTATACTTTAACGTATTTAGATCCGTGGTTTATGGTCCCTAGTAATAAAGATGCAAAAAAGTAGGTTATCCCATACACATTTCAAATGCAATGCAGAAAGCCGGGTTACAACCAATCGGCCCCAAATTTTGCACAGTTGCTAGGGACCTCAAATGGAACCAAACAAACATTGTTCTGAAAAAAATGATCATGATGACCCATGCTAATGTACATAGATCCAAACATCAACAACAATGCTTAGCATCAAATCTACCAAACCAAACTAACACATTTAAAGCATGGTGGTCACCTACTATGATTTTCTGCAGTAGTCACTGCAATCATCAAGTCAGGACAGAAACAACTTAAAATACAGGGTGATTCAGAATAACTGTCACCGATTTCACAAATATGCAATTCTCAATGGGTAAAATGGGTATATGTTCAAGTATTTTTGTTTTAAAGTGTGTACAAATATCAGCTTGTATTGATACTAGGATTTGAAATTTCATTCGTTTCGATTTCAAGCAGCCATGGACGGGAAAATGAAGCATGTCATAAATCTGTATAATGTTGTGTGTTATCGTTTAGAAACTGAAATCTCTTCGAAAGAATTAAACATTTATTTTTCACATCGTTAAAGAGGTAAAAAGCGACCATGCGTGGAAAATCTGTCCAATATCAGAGCTTAGACGCATCGCCAGGATTCCAAAATGGCTGGAACTAAAACGTGTGTGCCAGCTATGGTTCATTTTTGTGAGAAATGTGGCTGGTAATTAAAAGTAAAGGGAAAGAGATTTGAATTAAAGTATGCTTAGTTGAAGGTTATATATGTAGTATATCTGGAATATACTGATATCAAAAAATCATGCAAGCGTTCAATCGTTATGACCATTTTTAAAAGTGACAGTTATTCCGAATCACCCTGTACACATCCATAATTGGTCGATCACTGCTGGACACGAAAGAAGACATGAGTGGAACTTGTGAAGTTTGTTATACAGGGTGTTCGGTTCCTTAGTACAAATATGGAGTGATAGGAGATCATATTTGATGCACGAAATTCTCTTAAAGTTTATTGAGTTATTGAACTTTTTCTGTTTTGGTCTATGCTTGCCATAAATAAACACGAATTCAACCCAACCGTGTGTTACTGTTAACGTCTGTATGCAGCGTGCACAGCACACTTGATCGCCGTGTGGAACCGTCAGCAGCATTGTTGTTCATGTCTAAGAGAAAGAGGAGACTACTGACTTCTTTTTGTCTGTGACGTGTTCTTCTTCTCTCGCGGAAACGTCAAAATACATGACAATACCCAGGTAACAATTTGATGATTAACGAATGTTGTTTAATCGATTTTAATTCAGACTTAGATTGAATAATTGCTGTACATAGACCACGTTAACCTTTGTTCAGTTTTTTAACATCTAAATCTGGTTATTTTAATCAGCCAATAGCTTAACAGTAATATGCACTATAAGCTTTTTAAGGCATACAGTAATTTTCCATCCTTGTTCAACCTATTAGTTTTATTTCAACAATAAAAATGGAAGACCGAAACATATCTTATGCATTTATATGCACCTGCTTTAACTTGTTTTCTGAATAATTTACATATTTATGTTCATAATGTTAGTCTAAAAACTACCTCTGCATTTCGGGATTCGAACCGGCAGTCACTGAATCACAGGTGTCAACCATACCTAATGGACCACTTAAGCATATGTTTGGCAAAAGGTATGATCATTAACTTGAAGCACGTCAAATTTAAGTTGAATAACAGCAACCGGAAGAGTATTATACAGGAATGCAGAATTTTAAACACCAACTGTTGACAGTAAAAAATTTCTCTAATTTTCAAGTGCAGTTCAATGTGGACACAAGTGCGCAATTTATTTCAATGGTCATGCGGAAGCTATCTTAGTGCCATAATTGAGTTAAATTTTTGGAATGCGGTTTGAAAATTCAGTGCAATAGGGTAGAGAACTACTTCGACCTAATCCCCCATTTTGGGCCTATCGAGCAGAAAACTTCAAATAAATCCATGATTTCAGAGTTAACAAGTCAATTACGCGTTTGGTACGATACTTCAGTTAATAAGCTACCGAACGAAGTCAATGACATCGCGTGATATGAATGTTTGCACCCATTATTCCCAAAAACAAAAGAAGCTCTCCGACCGAATCAATTTTTATCTTCATCCGATAGGCCGAAGTGAATTCATTGGCGTTTCAATGGCGTTTCAATGCGTTAGGCCGAGTTTAGAATCCATAGGCCGAGTTTGGCGTCAAGAAGTCAAGTGTCAAGTGTTAGACTTTTGACAATATCTCAACGATTGGTTTCTCTGTATCAAATCTTACGGTACGTACGGAAAGGTAAATGAATTTGAAAGCCATCAGTAATAATAACATTCCGCTAGATTAAGAAAGACTAAGTGCGGGTTGTGCTTAATAGGCCGGAAATGGGGTAGTTAACCCTATAACATACAAAACACAGGAATACAAATGTCAATACTTCCGCCGTTGTCGCAGCTCACATCTACCTGGAGCTATTCCTAAAAATCTCCTCTTCCTTGTCTCTACTGCTGCTACTGCTTGTAATTTTATAGGTAGGCAGTGAATTTAGAAGAACTTAATTGCCGGAAATGCAACGAGTGACACAGACACTGATGAAATTTAACAAATCAAGCTATCAACATATGTGTAACGCATTGCTGATTTGTGGAGTAGTGTTAAGCTAAAATAAGGCTTCTTAAATCTTTAGATCAGCTAACTTATTGAGGTTGGATTATGAGGATACAATTCGCTTCATGCACTACTAATCAACTGATGTTAATCAGCTTTGTACACCTTAAATCAACCAATAATCAGCTTCTGTTCTTACTGTTCAGCTTTAATTGTTACTTGCGTAGATTCCCTGTTGTAAAAATTCTCGCGTTTCTATACGTTCGCCCGACCACGTTTGACAGAAAATTGGTACATAAAAGTCCCCCTATCCAGCTTTCCATGCTCGGTAATGGCGGCCTGTTTGTATGAATAAATGTATCCTTCACTGTGCTATCTGGAGGTTCGGATTTTGACCCTTCCCTTTCCCTCTCCCAGGAACAGAAGAAAATAAAACAACATACACCCTCCAGTTAGTGTCAAAAAGCACAGTGAAGGATACATTTATTCTTACAAACAGGCCGCCATTACCGAGCATGGAAAGCTGGATTGTCTCCACTTCCACTTAGGTTCATGTCACACTTATCAGACTGTCACTCCACGCGGTTTGACGAAACAATATACTTTATTACGTACCTTTAGTGGGGGAAAACACGTAGAAAAACACCAATTTTATACATGTTTATCTCTAAAATGTAGCAAAACACCGCTTACTTGAAGTAAGAAAGACATTATTAGCACAGAAAATAGACGTCCAACTTCCACCAGAAGCTTGTGTAAAGATAAGTGGGAACGTCGCCCTTACGTAGCGCTAGTATCTCCTGATTTCCTATTAAAATTTTCCATTTTCGACCGATTTGGCACTAGTATCGATAAATTTTCTGTTGCAAATGGCCACTTGGGGCTACCAGCACTTAGTGTCTAGTGTAAATTGTGCAACGCCCGCGCTTTCAGGTTGTCAAAAAGGGGTTTTAAGTGTGGAAGTCGCCGTTAGTGGTGCTTAAGTCGATTAGGAATCTTTACACTAATTTTTAGAGAAATTTTGTTCGAGTCTCAACGTCTGTTCTCTGTGTAATTAGGTAGGAAATTTTGTAAGCTGCTAATTATCATATTTATCGAATTAGAGCCAATTTAAAAAAAAAAAAATCAGAAAAAGTTCAATAACTCAGTAATTTTTAAGACAATTTAGTTCATCAAATATGATCTTCTATCACCTCTTAAAATATTTGCACTAAGGAACCGAAAACCCTGTATAAGTTAACGTAAGCATCGTCGTACCATATTACAGTCAACTCTTCGTATCTCGATGTTCCATATCTCGATAGACTAATCTTGTTCTATATCTCGCTCTCTTCATATCTCGATGCTCCCTTCAATATCGAGATATGGAGAGTTGACCGCATCCACATTTTAAACAATTCACGGCTTTCCCAATAATTCTATTAATACAAAACCAATATCACTGTTAATATAATCTTTTAAACACTTTATATTTTCGTATGTTTTCTTACTTGCTGAATTGTGCTATTGGCATTAAATACTTGTATACAATCTTACACGAATACCACATAGAGTTGATTTTGTCAGTTTTCCATCCGCAGCTTTGCAGAAACGATTAACTGTTGTTACACTTAGTTGTCGATTGCCAAAAGAGAAAAAAAAAACTGATTGATCCTTCACTCACGTACTTCATCTTAGGATTCCTACGTTCAGATAAATAAACATCCACTTTGTATTCTCTGTACAATCATTTTATACACACACACACACTTTGAACTGTTACGTATTCAATTCGTTTAGGTTATGTTCTAGTCTAGGTCTGCTATCATGACAGATTTACAGTCACTTCCTTTCGTAAAATCGAAGGAAAATCAATACTTTTGCTTTGCATAGGTTGCAGATCTTAATAATTCTAACGACACTTACTCACTTTACAAACAATCGAAAAAACTCCGACAAATAGTAAACAACAAACAGCCTTCTATCGCAAGTAGGGTTAATTGCGGGTGTGTGATTTGTCACACGTCGTTCACACCGTTCGCAGTGCGTGTCCCAGCCGGCTGAGGTCGGTTGGACCGGCATCACCGCTGGAACCGGTTCCGGAGTCGATCGCACCTGTTCGCGCACCTACACCACCGCTGCGTCCTCCACCTCCTCCTCCTCCTCCTGCTCCTTGCGGTGGTAGCGTTAGATTGTGATAGGATGCATGGTGAAAGTAATGAGGTGGGATGGCTCCGAGGGGAGCCATCATTAGAAGGGGGTGAATTGGCAGATCGTAGGCGCTGAAAGCGGGATGCGGGTAGGGAAAGAATGGCGGGATATTGACTCCGGGGAGGGATGTGGCCGGTGGGAGGGTTTGTGTTTGAAGAAGTCCCGGTATCCGAGGGTTGTCGTCCAGGAGGTTCAGTTTGTCGTTGTGAGATTTGGAGGATTTCTTGGGGCTTTGTGCGTGAGGGGTGGATCGGCCGTCCGGGGTCATGAGACTCTCGATGGTGAAGGCCCGCTTGGGCCGTAGGGGCGTGGAGGATTCGGTTATGGATATTGGCGAAATCGGAGCCGGTGCGGATACTGGGGAATGTGGTTCGATGGGGGAGTGCAGCATGGGCTGGTGGATTGGGTCTACCATTGTGGGACAATAGGTGTCGGCTCCGGAGTTCTGCGCTAGGAATATCCGGTTGATGTTGGCAAGGGCTGCGAGTTCCTCGTTCAGGATGTCCTTGTCGGTTTTGTGCAGTTTGAAGCGTTTTCGCCGTCGGAGAAGACTACCGTTCTCAAACATGTCAAATGCTTGCGGATGGAGAGCCCAGTAGGCTCCCTTGCCAGGTCGATCTGGCCGTCTTGGCACCTTGATGAAGCAGTCGTTAAAGCTAAGATTGTGGCGGAGTGAGTTCTGCCAGCGTTGGGTGTTTTTCCGATAGTAGGGAAAGCGGTCCGTGATGAACTTGTAGATGTCGCTCAGTGGGAGCATCTTTTCCGGCGAGCTCCAGATGGCCATAGCCGTCAGCGAGATATACGAGTAGGGCGGTTTCTGGTCCCCATAGGATTCCCGAGATGGTCGTGGCATATTGCTGGGTTTTCTAGATCACAATTACACTCGGATTGGATCGGTTCTTGGAACAAGTAGGAACTATACGTTGACCGACGGGTTTTCCGAAGGATCACACCGGTTGGGGACACATGACCTTGTATGGCCTTAAGCAGTAGCTGTGCATTTTGTTTTTCGATTAGAATTCTGATATTCACAAGTTCACTGAATAATCTTCATATCCAAAAGTATTCATAACAGTCACGGCTATCCATGCCGCTCACCGAGAAGACCAACACAACACGGGACGGCGTGAGTTCAACACGAGACTACTCGCGGTGCACAGCTCCCTGGTAACGCACACGTTCCGTTCTCTCGCTTGTTTGTTATAGACTGTTTTATCAAATCAACAACCGAAGGTGTTGAAATGTAGAATGATATGTTAAAGCAGTAGTGGCGGAGGTAACAAGCGAGCAAGTAAAAGCAAAAAAAAAGGCGAACATTAAGAAGCTTAACGCGAAAGAAGGAACACGATGGCAAAACAACATGAAACATGAATCCTATCGCTCCGCGAGCAGAAGAGAAACGACACAAAAAAATCAACAAAGAGGCGTGGGCTCGCAGCAGAGGGCCCCTGCCATGCAACCGCGTGCAAAGTGGCTGAGGTGCGCTGCTTGTTCGTTGAGATTGAGCAAAGCACACTCTCAGCCGCTGTTCTCACGCGCATTTTCCTCTCGCTCCGCGTGAGTGAGCATGTGTTCGTGAAACCACACAGAGAGCGAGCGAACGCTCGCACAAAGTGGAACACCGAAAGAAAAACTCGACTCTCATAATATTTGCTGAACCCCGTCGGTGCCTCGCGAACAATGGTTTCTCTGTACATATTTACTCTTTTTCTCCCTTCTTTTCAACACGGCTTTCGTTCCGGCTCTCTCCCGCTCGCTGAACAAGTTTGTTTTCCTCCATTTACTTTGTGTAACTTTGCTTGCCCACACATAAACTCTCCCTCTCACTCTTTCTTTCCCATCACCCGATATTCATAAGCTTCTTCGTCGCGAGAAGGGTAGGCGTGGCCTACCATGTCAGCTAACCATCATTGCGGGCGCGTGGTGTGGTGGAAAATCAATGTTTGACTGCGAGTGTAGATGAGCGAGCCAGCGAGCGAGCGAGCGAGGCGAAAAGTACACAAACAATATTTCATGGGCTCAAAATGGGGAGTAGGAAAAGCTTGCCGCCGTTCGTTCGCTGCTGGCTGGTTTCACCCGGGCTCCCGGTCGGTGGTGGTGATCTGAATCGTTGTGTGATGATGGCGGGAGCCCTTGTTGGCGTTATCGGAAAACCACGGGAATCGGGCAACGTCAACAGGATGGAATAACTTTTTGTTTTGCCTCTCTGCAGGATAATTTATTCTGCAAAATGGATTACAATAAATAAATCAAATACGTTATTGAATCGATTCAATTGTAAGGCTTGCGTACGTAAAGAGCGGTGGATTAGTGATGAATTTGAAAATTTCGACGGAAAAACTAGTTTCGTGTGCCGTTTTTCTACCCAGTAACTGTATCGATTTTTCACGCGCCTCGTCTGGAACGGTGTTGTGTATTGTGGGAAGGAAGACCCACAGTAGGGTTCCGGTTCATGGCGTTTTGTTTAGCCGTGAATCATGGCAGTAGCGGGAAATTTAAAATGCTATAGGTGGTTGACGCAAAATTAATTAAATTACTTCGCACTTCATGCTTTTTCCAGCGGAGCGGATAATCTCATTTAATGGGTGATGGCGATTTTTTGTTCTGCCTTTTTGCTTGCAGTTTGCTATTTGGGGTGATGTACCGGTTGGGTATTCCTATTTGCATGTTGGTTAAAAGAAAATTTAGATTCCAGTCAGGAAAATGGTTTGCCAATAGAAAAAGTGTTAGAATTAATTCTGAACATAATAAGTAGTGCAATTAAATGTTCATAAGAGCAATTGCATGATTTTGAAACCTTTTCTAGACGGTTGACGCCCAGCTGGGAATACAAATGTAAGCTGAGGCTTAAATTGCTTTTAACATGGCTGAGTAAAAGTGGGTGAGTATTTTCATGAATTTGGGAAGAATTTCGAATAATGGGGGCTTCCAACGATAGAAAGAGGTAATACAAGCACCATACAGGCAGGAATTTCTGGAAATATATTTGTATGTTTTTTGACTAAAATTGTAGTTTTAGGTAAAGAGACTAGAATATACTAAGAAACGCTATCTGATCCTTTTGAAAACACACCATTTAGCAACCAAGGCATCCAATGCACGAAACACTGTGATTGTTCAAAATTTCGCTTGACTTTCAATTTGGTCACGTTTGTTGTTATTCGATTTAAAGTTGATAATCAATTTAAATTCATCTCACTGCGTCCTAGCAAGAAGTACGGTCGACTTGTTTCGCGCTCCGTTAATTTGGAAGTTTTCTCGCTATTATCTGACGTAAATAATCAGTTTTTTCTCGCTTAGTGATTCCTGGCATAATTCCCGATAAATTTATCAAAAAGTGAGTTTTTTTCTGAGAAGAAAGTGTGTTTTCGGCATCATCGGAAGGAAAATTGTTTTTGCGATTGCCAATTCGCCAACCATTTTGCGCACCATCGGTGCGTGGTCACGCATACCTGTGCACACGGATCATCGTCATCGAGTGTCAGCATCTGCCTCCACATTCAAACCGCTCATCCATCTCGTGTGTTCAGCTGAGTGCCGAGCTTCATACAAGCACACACCAACGAAGACCGCCCGCACACGCGGATCGAAGATCATCCAAGCTGCGCGTCGCTCCGCTGCTGCTGTGTAAACGCTCGGTGATAGTAGTATAGGATTATCAGATAAGTTTTTGTTTCTTGTTTCTTTCTTTCTCCCATCAGTTAAATTTTAAGTTTGTGTTTCTGTGTTTGTATTTTTTTTTTCTCGTATATTGTGTCCGAGTAATTTTGATTATCGTTGCAGTGGTAGAGCGTTTTTCGCTCCCACTAGTACGGCAAAATGGACATTTTGTCGGAAGACGAAATGGACGTTTTGTCGGAAGATGACACCACTTTGCCACGCGATAGCAAGAAGGGTCGAAAACGTCTGTCATCCCAGAAATCAGATGATGCCATCCCTGCTTCGTCATCTCAGTCTGGTAATGGACAGGGACAGATAAGCCCCCGATCGCGAGCCTACCCAGAAGACTCGACTGGCCCATGGGTTGTTTACTTTCAGCCCAAAAAGAAACCTTTGAATGTAATGCAAATTACTAATGATCTGACGAAGCGGTTCTCGGCCGTGACCGAAATCTCAAAGGTGAGGTACAATAAACTTCGCGTTGTCGTCTCTAACCTGAAACAAGCTAACGAGATTGCTGCCTCCCAGCTCTTTACACTCGAGTATAGAGTGTACATCCCAGCTCGTAATGTGGAGATCGAAGGTGTGGTCACCGAAGCGAGTCTGACCCCCGAGATCTTGGCGAAGCAAGCGGTTGGCCGTTTCAAGAACCCCTTGCTTCCCACGGTTGAGATACTGGAAGTCCAGAAGCTGAACTCAGTATCTTTCAGCGAGGGTAAAAAGAGCTTTACCCCCACAGACTCGTTTCGGGTGACCTTTTCTGGTTCAGCCCTTCCTCACTACATCGAGTTGGGAAAACTTCGGCTACCTGTGCGTTTGTTTGTTCCTCGGGTCATGAACTGCCAAAATTGCAAACAGTTGGGACATACGGCCTCTCACTGTGGCAGCAAGGCACGCTGTTCCAAATGCGGGGAGAAGCACGAGGATGGCGCCTGCACAGTCACTGCACCAAAATGCGTGTACTGTAAGGGAACTCCTCATGGTCTCTCATCGTGCCCGGCGTACAAACAACGCGGGGAGAAACTAGAACGCTCTCTTAAGGAGCGTTCCAGGCAGTCTTTTGCAGCAATGCTAAAAACAGCCACACCATCAACCAACGACAAAAATCCCTTTGCTGTTTTGTCTGATGACGAGTCTGACTCTGACTTGGCTGAGGAGGGAGTTTCTTTCAGTTTTCCGGAAGGTTCTGCACGGAAACGAAAACGCATCCGTTCGCGGAAAGTTGCAGATAAGGAACCCCAAATCAGCTTGCCCAAATCAAGGAGTGATGGAAAAAAGGAAGTTTCAACTCCTCCTGGTTTCCGCCGAACTGACTATAACCAGAACTTTCCATCTCTCCCGGGGACATCAAAAACCCCTGATGGCCCATTTTTAAGAACAGAAGCCCCTTCTTCATCCGGGTTGTTCTCATTTGATAAAATTGTGGACGATATTCTCAAGTACCTCAATATTTCTGATCCTCTCAAAAGCATTGTTCTGGCAATGCTTCCTTCTGTGAAGACCCTCTTGAAGCAATTGACATTGAAGTGGCCCCTCATTGCAGCAATCATTTCCTTCGATGGATAATTTTCCAAACGAGGTCGGGGATTTGATCACTGTTCTACAGTGGAATTGTCGAAGTCTCATTCCTAAATTAGATTCTTTTAAGTTTTTAATTCACAATAATGATTGTGATGCATTTGCTGTTTGTGAAACTTGGCTCTCTTCAGATATCGATCTTCCTTTTTATGATTTTAACATTATTCGACTGGATCGTGAGGATTCGCGTGGAGGAGGGGTACTTTTGGGGATCAAAAAGTGCCATTCCTTCTATAGAGTGAATCTTCCACAATTTCCAGGTATTGAAGTTGTTGCATGTCAGGCTATTATTAAAGGTAAGAGCCTTTGTATTGCTTCTGTTTATATTCCTCCTAGAGCCGTTGTTAATCGCAAACAACTTTCAGATATCTGTTCGGTACTTCCTGCTCCACGGTTGATTATGGGAGATTTGAATTCCCACGGTACAGGCTGGGGGGAACTGTATGATGACAACCGTTCTACTTTGATATATGACCTCTGCGACAGCTTTAATATGACAATTCTTAACAATGGAGAAGTAACACGTTTGGCTGGCCCATCCTCGAATGGAAGTAGATTAGACCTCACATTTTGCTCTAACTCATTATCGTTGGATTGCACGTGGAATGTGATCCAAGATCCCCACGGTAGTGATCACTTGCCGATCAAAGTTTCAGTTGCCAGTGGGTTCAATCCGTCGGAACCCGTTAACGTCGCGTACGATCTTACC